TTGCCTTCAGGCTTAGTGTCATCAGATTCAGTGGCTTTATGAGTTTCAGCAAACTCTCCACAGTCCCCCTGGTCCCTAGGCAGTTTCTCCTGCTGTCTCCTGAGAGGTCTTGTTCCATACTACTTAATGATCATATATTTGAAAAAGAGTGAACGGGAGTCTATAACAAGTTCTGAAAGGCATGCTAGCAAAGAGTAAACTCTTGTTCCCGGTGGTGGTGCTTTGCAATGCCAATGACGGTGTCAATGCAGTAAAGTTGCCCTGCAGTTGTTCATGCTCTGTGTGGACAAACCGATCACTTCAGTCTCCAGGTTTATGCACTCACCATCTTTGCATGTAAGTGAAAAATGCATGCAAAATAAGCATCAGAAAGGAACAAAATTCAGGGACCACTGTGGTCTCTTTTGGATAGATAAGAACTGCTGGCACAAGCAATTTCTGCTGAGCTTTAAGTGCAGTATCTGATATTTTGAATTGCTCCAAGTTGAATGGCCATGTGCTTGCTTCTACTTTGTACGAGTAGTCTCTTTTGGGGTGGCTGAGCAGCAGATGGGATGTGGATACTGATTTTGCAGACCATCATTTTTATTGTTATGAACAGCACTAAAATCAATTCACCTAACTTGGTCTCATCTTGAGTGATGGTGATGAAGATGATGATGATGATAATAGCACCTAGACTTTTGGGCCCCTTTTTGCTATGCACTGTAACTAATCACCTCCAAAGCAAGAAGACTTACAATGTGCTTATAATGCACTATTGTGAGCTCCATGAGGTACAGAGGTATTGAAAAGCTTGACAAAACAGTGCCAATTCTCCATGCATTCTTTTTTTTTTCTTTCAAAAAAATGTATCATTCAATCCTCTCAACTTATCTGTCATGTATTTAGTAGCTACAAATCTGGAACACCAAAAAAATGATACAGATGATGGACTTCAGTGTGACACTATTTTGAATGGAGTCCTGGGGCTGGTCTGATATCATTCCAGTCAATTCCCATATTATGTGGGTTTCTATCCATACTGTAAAATCTCATTTTCCAGTTAGGCAAATTCATTAAGTAGAGAACTTCTACTGAAGCCATTTGAAAGATGTCTGCTCCTCAAAGGGAAATAAGGCTGATATGATTGTGCTCTGTGTGTGTGTGCGCGCGCACACATCTGTTCCCGCATTAGTGATCTGCAACCCCAAATTTAATAGCATGGTAGCAGTTTTTGCCATAATACATTTTCATAAACTGCAATGCAGACAGCTGGCTGATGAGAGAAGAGATCCCCTATTCATGTTGCTGTTGACAGAAACGCTAATAAGCTTATTAGACTTCAGAGAAAGCACACAAGACAGCCTAATGAAAGAGCCTCCTCGCTGTATGGTTTATTTTAAAAACTCATAGAAGTTACCCTTTGCCTGGTAATGATCTTAAAAACCAGCATCATTACACATGCCTGTGTCCTGCCAAGATTTTGTCCCCAGCTATAAAAAGTGATAGCACTTAATTAGCAAGATTTTTGCCCTTTTTGATAAAAGGTGCAATTCAAGTATCTGTGAGAAAACAATCCCAGGCTCTTATACAATCTCAAGCCTTGGACTGAAGACCTTTGCACCCAGAATGGACTTGCAGGAGGGAAGGGCAGCCTTTACACAGAGAAACCGTAATTATCGACCGAGCGCAGTCATGCGCTGTTTCTTCTTGAAGAGCGAATGCCAAATATTCTGAAAATATTTGTAGTTGGAAATGCTAGCAATCTCTCTTTACTTCCATACCAAAGTATGTGAAACGGCTCCCTCTCTCTGCCCTAGCAGACGCCTTCGTAGTGAAAAACTTTCTCTAAGAAACCATGAGAAATATATTTCCAAAAGACATTTCAATAGAAATATCATAGCCATATTGTAAATCTAGGGTAAAAACATCTTTTTTTTCACAGATTCCTAATGTATTCTTTGCTTCAAAGAAGAACAGAACCTGGAGGCACTCCAGGACTGTCCTGTCCCCTTAATGAGTGGAGGGCTCCAGGGCCTCTCCTTGTTCATATATGATCTAATAACCTGGGAAATGTTTGCATCAATATTCACAGGCTCCGGAATGGAGTACATTAATCCTTAAGCTTAATCCTTCAGGATGCTTACTATTAGGCCATCTAATCTGACCTCCTACATATCCCATTCTTTACAGCTCATTGATATTTGATTTTGAACTTACTGAAGTCACATGTGAGGGCACAGAACTGCAATCTAAAGACACTGCTTTGTTGTCCAAATTAGTTCATAAACAAATCTTGCTAAATTTGAATATTTTATCGTAAAGTGATTGCTTTCGAGTATATCAATTCTGCCTCTGAAAACTGTATACAAAGGACCATGCTAAAGCCATTTCCTTTCTAGTTTCTCTAAAAATGAAGCACTTTTCTGTTCTTTTACCAGATAAAAAGCACAATTTTCTGAAGTACAATGACAGCTTCATCACTGATCTGAACACACCCTACGACTACGAATCATTGATGCACTATCAACCATTTTCATTTAACAAAAATGAAAGCATCCCCACAATCACAGCAAAGATACCAGAATTTGATAACATAATTGGACAACGTCTAGACCTCAGTGCCATTGACCTGGAAAGACTCAATCGCATGTATAACTGCAGTAAGTCATAATTTAAGTATGGCAAACTGTTTCTTTGTTTATACTTGAGCCTGGCTGGTTTACTTCTGTTATGTCTCCAAAACCACAAAAACTCTTCTCAGGTGCTTTTGAGGTGGTATGGGAGAGGACCTGTGGTGTAGAGACCCAAACTGTTTATTCCCTCCTCATCACTCTCTTTGGCTCTGCTAACTGTCATTACTTTTGTAAAAGTTCAATTAGTCAATGAAAGTCAATTCATTCACATCTTTTCTTCCATGTTGCTCCTAGGGGTTCAGACATGTAGTGGTGTTCTGCTGGTGTGTGGGCAGCTTCTTTGTGCCTCTTTTGGCAGGTGAATGCAACTGTACTTTGTCCTCTTTTACTGACATTTGGTCTTAATTAGATTGTTTTGCACCTGAGATTGGCTAAGTCTAGAGTCCACCACTCTGTCTAGTTGGTTGCTAAGGTGGTTGAAGATGTTATCACCATGTGTGATTATTAGCGAGAAGTTCTTGTCCTCATGGATCTGCCAACAGAAGCATCCACTTGCAGGCAAACTCAGCTGAACCAGCCTAAGGTAACTGTGTGGACTTTGTTTGAAGTGGAAGAACAGTGCTCACGCTCATCAAGCAGACAAGTGAGCCATGAAGAACAATAACCTCCAGCAGAGGAATGGTTAAATGCAACACCACCACTGTTCACAAAGAAGTGACTTGTCTCTCCAAGGCTTACAAGCAGGCATAAAGACAGCCATCACCAGTCACTGTGCTTCAGCTGTGGCATGGGAGTTTGTTAACCTTCTGTCAAGAGGTCAAATGTTGGTATCTTTATGGAGGGAATCCCTCCAGGAATCAAACTTTTCCTCTTTTGAGTCTCTGGGCTCACATCTGCTGTGAGTTGTCTTCTCTACATGATGACTATACTAGTGTAAACAAACCCCCCCAAAATTAGAGCAGAAATTTTAATAAGAACTTCTTTGGAGGTAACCACGTGTGCATTTTTTTTCAGCTTCAACTCACACTTTTTTGGACCAGTGTTCTTTTGAGTTTGAAAATATCTGCGGCATGATTCAGGGCACCAGAGATGATCTAGACTGGGTCCATCAACAGAGCAGTGCTTCAGGACAGGAAGACCACACACTTTCTGGGCGCTGCAGAGGTAAAACGAAGTAACAGAACACTTTCCTATGGAAAAGGGATTAGCTGGAGTAACGGTCCTTGTGCATGTTTGTGCTGGTCTGTGTACTTTACAGTGTCTTTAACAACTTCTCTGAACCTGTCGTAGTCAACCCTTGAGAAAACCCAGCACTGGCTACTCTGAAAACACAGGATTAAATGATCATATTTAGAACACCACCCAGCAAACATCCAAGTTGTAATGTTTCTAGTTAAGCAAAAAAACCTTTTTCTTTTCACGTGTCTTGGCCCTGTGAGTGTGAGTTTATAGTTGCACTCGTGCTCTCATTAAGCTTTTTCAACACAGTGGAATGTTCTCCATACCAGCAAGATAAAAGGGGACAAAGAACAATCTTGACTAGAGGCCTTTTAAATATAACCTGGAAAAGGATTTACTGCAACTTCCAAAGTCTGAGTAAGAGTTATGTTACCCCATGATAAGAATGAAACAGCACTCATAACCACTCATAAATGCTGTGTTTGCAAAGTGAATGGTAAGCTAAGCTTGAGGAGTGCTCGTTCTGGAGGTAGAAGAAAGTTGCAAAGTATTTTATGGTAGGAGTTTAAGGATAATTTTATTTTTCATATGGTAATTTTGCCATTTTTCAAAGGAAGAAAATCTCAAAAAGGGTGGAGTCAGCCCCAGTCACAGTTGCAGGGTGCTAGCTTACAAGTGAGAATAAAGATTAAATCCCAACAAACAGTTCTGAAAAGCAAGGGCCTGATTTGTCATTATTTAGACAGGGAAAACTACTAGAGACTTTAAAAAAAAAGTGACTTTTGTGGTAAATTTTGCCTAACTACAGAGTGAAAGAATCCTGGCCTAAAGCACATTCAGTTGTGCTTTGTTACTCTTTGCTAAAGGAAAAATTTGACTTGCTGCATTAGGAGTAGACTATTCCCCTTATGTGACACACTCACTGGAAAGAAGAACAGGTCCTCAACCTCTTACAATGCTGCTACTTATTGATCAGGTCCAAGAATGCAATATAGCTCAAGAAAACCATCTGACAGCTTCTAGAAGTACATGCTCCTAACCCTCATCTGACTTCTAAAATTCTTTCTCTCCTTTTTTTTTTTTCCCATATAGTATCATTGTAACTGAAAAATAATTCAGCTGAGTTGTTTGAGATTATCAGGTAAAATACAATCTGTCTAAAGTAAGCGCTTAACTTGCACTTATGCTTTAGCATCTAGTGACTCGGTACAAAATGAGTATCGACGTTATCTGAAGAGCTAATGGAGAGGGGTAGGTGCCCCTGAGGATCTCCAGAGTGTCTAAATGAATTGCATGAGTAGGGAGTGCCTCTCCTTTTGGATGCCTTCAATGACCCTTGGTTCATTCAGATTTAGACATTTTTGGAGAACCGGTTCTGCAGTCATCTCAGGTGGGAGCAAATTTTAGGTTTCTAACACAGATGGATTGTATTTTGCCCAAACAGTTTTGACTTCTTGGGTTTTTGACTTATTACTGGCTAAACTGAAGGAGGGAAAGTAGAGCCTAACATTTAGAGAGGAGCTGGCAGCTTGGCTCTGGATTTGATCCCTGCATCCCCATGCTGAAGTCTGCTAAGGCCATATTCTAACTGCCATAGATGCTTAATGTTACCTTTATTTGACTTTCTTATCAAAAAGGAGGTAGAGACTAGATGATTTGGGGGTTTGATACCATAATAAGTTCAACAACAAAGTTAGGCACCTGAATAAGGCTCACAACCCTGTTTCTCACTTGGACCAACAGTGATCATACTTATATTTAACATACTTTAGCATAAATTTAACTCATGGTGAAGTGTCATACATGTGCACAAAGCAATTAGGTAACTTTGGCAAGGTTTCTGTGGATATGAGTTCAAAGCATTGCTACCACGTAGGAGGTAATGGAGAATATTCCCCTGACATGATTAGAGCAAACGCAATAAACCGAGCAGCTCAAACAGCTCCACTAACCATGCAGGAGACTGTTTATGCAGCTACAGGTTTAACTGGTGATGCCCTAGGTGTTAGCTTGGACAACAGTCCAAGAAACCAGCCCCCACAGAGAATCATAGAATCACAGAATCATAAAGGTTGGAAAAGACCTCTAAGATCATCAAGTCCAACCGTCAACCCAACACCACCATGCCCACTAAACCATGTTCCTAAGCGCCTCATCTACACGTCTTTTAAATACTTCCAGGGATGGTGACTCCACCACTTCCCTGGGCAGCCTGTTCCAAGGCCTGACCACTCTTTCAGTAAAGAAATTTTTCCTAATGTCCAGTCTAAACCTCCCCTGGTGCAACTTGAGGCCATTTCCTCTTGTCCTATCGCTGGTTACTTGGGAGAAGAGACCAACCCCCACCTCACTACAACCTCCTTTCAGGTAGTTGTAGAGCGCGATGAGGTCTCCCCTCAGCCTCCTCTTCTCCAGGCTAAACAGCCCCAGTTCCCTCAGCCGCTCCTCATAAGACTTGTTCTCTAGACCCTTCACCATCTTCGTTGCCCTTCTCTGGACACGCTCCAGCACCTCCATGTCCTTCTTGTAGTGAAGGGCCCAAAACTGAACACAGTAAAGCTTTCACACAATAGCTAAAAGAATTTCACTTGTTAATTTAATCATAGACTGTAATGGATAACGAAAGAGCAATGCAATACAGATAAGACGTGACAAGTCCGAATGATACCAATATGAGATATGTGTGCAAATGGTGAATCCCTTGTAAATATAAGGATAAAAGTAGACATTTCAAATCTAAAGGAAAGAACACTTCAGAAAATGTTAGTGGGAAATTAAACTAGAGAGGCAGGAATTCTTAAATAATTTCCCCAAATTGAGAAGCTGAGTTTCGAAAAGTCTTTGAGCAAGCTGTAAAAAAGAGCTGCTTCATGTTCAAGGTCAGGAAAGCACTAGTTTTGTGTCCAACTGTTTTTTATTATCTTCATCACTGATAAGAAATTATCTTACTCTTTACAAGGTAATATAGCATGTGATCTCTGAGATTGCACCTTTAGATTATCTTCAGTATAAATCAAGTAAAAAATATGTTTACTAGTCACTTGCAGTCAGCACTGAATCCTCTGTCTCATATCTCTGCCATCCCTGAGGCATCCAACTTCCAACTCGACCAACTAGATGCAAAATTGACATAAGCTGCCAGCAATGAGTTCCATATACATGCTAAAGTACTAGTCCTGTAGTCTGTCTTGGATGGTTATCACATACCATTTCCTCTACTATTCATGTTAAGGGCTACACTTATGCCTACTAAAAGAGTGGAGTTGAAATGATAGGTTTACACCATTTTCCTGCAGCTAGCAGGAAATCTGGAAAGAGACAGTGACACTCCACACATTCTTCACAGCTGCTGGCTATTTCATGTACTTCAGCACCAGCTCTGGCAAGGCAGATGAGGTGGCAGTCCTAGAGTCTCGAATCCTTTACCCAAAGAGAACTCAGCAGTGCCTCCAGTTCTTCTATAAGATCACAGGAAGCCTTTCTGACAAGCTGATCATCTGGCTTAAAGAGGATGATGGCACTGGAAATGTTCGCAAGATGAGGAAAATTCAAACCTTTCAAGGTAATACTGGAAATATGAGGAATATATAGAATATTGGGGGAGGAAAAGTTGTCATACTGAGTCCATGAATGCGGTGGATTGGCTCAAAAATCGGAAGATTTTCATGAAGCTACCAGAATATCTTGCAATGCGGCTAAGGATTTTGGTATTACGTGAGGGCATTTAGCAGTGAAACTGTGGGTTGGAATAATGTAATTTAGGTGCTCCACAGCAGAAGTCACAATGTTCCTAATAATGTTACGTTACACTCAGTGATTGAGAGGGACCCCAAACTCTGCTGGAGATCAACTGACTAGACCTCCACTGGCTGTTATATGATCTGACAGTGAGCTGTCCAGATGTAAATACCTGTGCTCATCTGCAGTCAATAAGAATCCCAGCCTGATGGGATAGGATTCCAACCTATTTTTATATGGTTAGAAATATAAAAACATATGTAATTTTGGAAATGTGAACTGAGTTCCCACTTTGGGTGATTTTGCTAAAGAGGACAAATTCAGCCACTGTGGCACTATGCGTTTATGTTCTCAAAACCCAAGACCTGCGATAACCTGCCTATATCAAGCTGCAGCAGTTTGCAGGGACGGATAAGTCCCTGGAAAAGTGGCAGCAACAGTTAATTCTAACATGTTGGGTCATTGACTCCCATCCACTTGCTATGTCTTGGCCTTTAGACTGTTGCCCTTTATACTAGAGACCGTCATTCACTAATGTGTGAAGAGTTCCTAATACAACGTGTCCAAAGCATTTAGATGATAAGGCAATATGAGTATATTATAATCACAATATCAACTTAAGATCTCTAGCCCTCAGGACTCTGTGAGAGGTCCAGTTGTCTAAAAATGCAGCTGGAATGGATGGCTAGGAATAAGCTGCTTCGTAATGTCACTAATCATGCTGATCGCGATGTTTTGCTTTCTTTTTACCAAAGCGGATAATGACTATGACTGGAAAATTGCCCACGTAACCCTCAACGCTCAGAAGAAGTTCCGTTACCTCTTTCAAGGACTAAAGGGCAACCCCAGCTCTTCATCTGGTGGGATTGCTATCGATGATGTCACACTGACAGAGATGCCCTGTCCCACAGCTGTGTGGGTCATTCGGAATTTCAGCCAAATCCTCCAAAACACGTCAAGTGATGTTATTCAAAGCCCCCGGTTTTATAGCCCTGAGGGTTACGGTTTCGGCATAAGTTTGTATCCCCACTCCAGAATGAGTGGCTCCTCTCGCATTGCCTTTCACTTGTGCAGTGGAGAGAACGATGGTGTTCTGGAGTGGCCAGCTCTGAACCGCCAAGCTGTACTCACAGTGCTGGACCAGGACCCTGACGTCTTGAAGAGGATGTCCTCAAGCAAAAGCTTCACCACAAGCAAAGACCATGTTAGCTCAGGTGAGTGGTGTCTCCCTGGAGGAATGATGAAAAAGAAAGCCAAAGAATCCAAGCCAGAGGACTGAGAGTAGGATTCAGAGTTGGGCAACTTTGGCTGCATTTTCCAATTTGGGACACTTTCCTGTGTAAGACTTTCCTGTGTATGACTCAGAATTCCTGTCTCTGAAAGATCATCTACTGTGAAAAGTGACACATAGAAGGTTGGTGTTATTATGAACAATCCTTGGGATATCTGAGTTTGACTCTAAATACAGAGTTCTCCTAAGAGCTAGCAATTCCCGTTCCACCTGAGGTTTGCCCATTATGATAGGTGACATATCACCACAGGAGGGTGCAATGTCAGAAGGGTGCTGTATTTCATTAGTAAATCAACAATAATTTAAAACTGCATTTTGGAGGCTTCGTTAACTTGAACATACATGGTCTGAATGCACATTGTAGCTGTATTTAAGAAAAAAAATACCTGAAAACACCTGTGAGATCGGTCTGCAGCATTGGAAGCCTGTCTTTCTTGGCTGGGTGTAGACTGCAGATTATGAACTCTTTCAGACAGCGGCTACCTTTTAACTCCAGGTTTATATAGCGTGTAGCACCATAGTTCCACATCACCTGTAGGATTCCCCATGGATGTGGCAATTAAAAGAAATAAGAACAACAGGACAATATTGAGTCTGATACAGAATAAAATACTAGAGATGAATCTTCATCCCTCTTCACTTTTTCCAGCGGAAGTTCAGTACACGCTTTTTGAGTAGGAGGTTTTAAACCTTAGGTATGAATATGTTTAACAGAACCATAGCAATGAACAAAATCTGCTAGACTCTAAACCATAGGTACTTAAAAACTGATGAGGGAGTGTCCTTACACAGGAGGGAGCTCTTAGCCGGAGGTAACTTTCGTTTGGTTAGTTCTCAATGAAAGGGGAGTTGTGGAATTTCAACGCCCTCACATAGACTGAGATCCCTCATGTAGACCATATCTAAGGACCTGCTGGCACCGATAATTTGTCAGTCCTCTGTGATTTGTTTGGGCATTTCAGTTCTGAACTTGATTTTACAGCATAAATCCCGTTTAACACCGTAATGCACAAAAAAGTGATGTCATACTTCCAGCTGCAGAACTTTGTGGTTCTTATTTGTCACTTATATTCTCTTTGCAGCTGTTAATGGAACCTTAATATGGGAGAAACCATCAATTGTTGGAAAATTTGATGCCTCATGCAATTGCTATAGAAGTGTATCCTGGGGGTGGGATAACTTCATATCCCATAGCCAGATGAGACGGAGAAGCTTCCTGAAAAATGATGACCTGATTATTTTTGCAGAATTTAATGGTAAAGACCCTCTTCCTGCTTCTCCTTACAAAAACAAATGGGTGATCCTTTCTATCTCTTTTCATACATTCAAGTAACTATTGCCACCTGTCTCTGAGTCATCTTCTCTTCTAATGGGGATCAACTTTTAAAAGCATTTCTGTGTCTTAGTTTCAGGTGGGTGACGTTGACTAAAGTGATTGTGAGTTCAGAGGAATCTAAATGGCAATGATTTACTGGAGGTTAACTTCTTAGACACCTTTAAGCACCCTAAAGAATAGCTATGTCCATTTCCAAGCATTGAACATACTAAAAGGCCTTCCTTGTGTTTATTTTCAAACAGAACAGCCACACTTGGCATCATTTTTCAAAGTACAGAATACAATTGATTTACCTAACTAGTTACCGTAATTTTAGTATTATTTTCTATCTATCTTGTGCTTTACATATGCAGAACTTGCTGTGTTATGGCAAGAGCTCTGTAAAGGGCAAATGGACAAGTACCCTGCAGTCCACCCTGTGAGCCCCTGGTATGAAGAATACTACATATAGCGAATACTACATATAGCATCACTCACTGTTATCTAATGTCTTCCTCCTCTCCTTCCTTTTTTAAAAGATCTAAGTCACCTCTATAACACTGAAGTCGCTGTTGAACCTCAACAACCTGCCTTCATGGAAGGCCTCATTCTTGAAAGGCAGAAGAGAGCTGCCCAGGATATGGAGCCTGTTCAAGACCAGCTGCCTTACCTGCCAGACCCGTGTAACCCAAACCCTTGCCAGAATGATGGAACCTGTGTGAATGTGAAAGGGACAGCAAGATGCAGGTACCACGGACCTCTTCCCTGCTTGCCTTGAATCATAGAACCATAGAATCATAGAATCATTAAGGTTGGAAAAGACCTGTAAGATCATCGAGTCCAACCATCAACTCAATACCACCATGCCCACTAAACCATGTCCCTGAGTGCCTCATCTACATGTCTTTTAAATACTGCCAGGGATGGTGACTCCACCACTTCCCTGGGCAGCCTGTTCCAAGGCCTGACCACTCTTTCAGTAAAGAATTTTTTCTTAATGTCCAATCTGACTTTCTTCTGAACCAAATGATGCAGCTAATGAGTATTCAGAGCTACAGACCTCAGAGGTCTGAGCCACTAGGTCTTCAAGGAACAGTAGGAACAAAACACTTCACTGCAGTGACTGGTTTCTGGTAGCAGCCATAAAGGGAGGCAAAGAAACCCCATTCTGCTGTGCTTTCAGGGGATGTAAATCGCCTCCAAACAAGGTGGGGATGTTATGACGTGAGCCTCTCTAATGGGAACTGCCCATCCAGGATAGTGAGTGTGAGGACCTTGAGATGGGCCTATAGGGCAGGACAAAACTCCTGATCCATGTGAATGTGTACTTTATTTTCCCAGGTGCCCGTCAGGACAAGCCTTCTTCTTTACGGGTGACAGGTGTCAGTCAAGGCAGGTGCATGGGGACATCGTGGGAATGACAGTTGGTGGAATTGCTGGAACCATCGTCTTAACCATCGTCCTCATTTCCGTGATGGCTAGAAGATAAAGAGCTGCAGGGGGATAAATCTCAGTCTGGTATTTTTCCGTAGTTCATACAACATCAGTTTTCAGTGAGAAATGATGAATACACCTTGTAGAAGACCAGTCAGCCCATGGGTGAAATGCTGTATCAACAGCTTGGCAGCAACCTGTTTACTCTGTAGGACTTGGCAGTTAGAGAACAACATGTAGAACTGCTGTCTAATGAAAGTTCATACGCTGCCTTTCTCGTGTGTTCTTTGAACGTTTCATTTCTTCATCCAACAGCAAGCGGTAGCGCTGAGGGTCCAAGCATTTGCTCTCAACCGCAACGGTCGCGGGGGGGAGGCTCCTTGTGCGCATGCGCGGTGGCAGCCATTTCCAGGCGACGCGGCTGGCGGAGGCGGCGCC